CGGTTTCCGTGGAGTAGCGCTCCTGGCCGTCTCTTTTGCGCCTCTGCTGGAGGATCACTTGGCCGTGTCTGGTGAGTCGGGGATGGGGTTTCTGCCTTGGGGTGATGGATGAGGAGGAGGAGGAGGGGCTGATTCCCCAGGCCCCCTTTGCAGGGGCAGCTGGGTGTCCTGTGGGGTTGCCCCACGGAGAGGGAGCTAAGAGAAAGGAGAGTAAGACAGAGGCCTCCCTGAGCTTCTCTGCCAACCTAGGCGGGGAGGGAACATGTGAGAGGGGCGAAGAGGGTCAGCCAAGCCCCTCCACCCCGGCAGAAGCTGCCCCACATTTGCATTCCATGGGCAGAGCCTCCCAGAGCCTGGATGTAGGTGTGTGTGGAGGGGGTGTCTTCGGAGAGCCCCTCCCAGGCCCATCCCACCATTTGCAAGGACGGCAGCTCACAAACCCAGATCGGTAGGCTTCACCTCCTGTAGAAAAGGGCTTTAAAGTTCCTTATCTACCCGGTTGGCTTCTGTGGTCATTGCTCCCTGTGGTTGATCAGGGAGGGAGGCAGGCAGGCTGGCTGGCTTGCGACAGCTTTCTTTCTCTTTTAAATAAATCCACTAAATGAAGAGTGCAAGTAAGTAGCTTGGAAGCCCATCTCCGAGAGGGTGAAACGAAAGGGTGTGCAGAGTTGGGTTCGTCGGCTGCCATTCCCAGGGTCCTTGGGGAATTCTGGGGATTGCAGTGTGAAAGCACAAAAGAGGACACCCTAGGACTCACAACGGTGCCACGACGAGACAACCGAGCAGGAAACCCCACCGTGGGCTCCAGTGACAGGAGGCCAGATTTCGGTGGAATCTCAGGGAAAAGCTTCCTAACTGTTAGAGCAGTACGACAAAGGAGCCCCTGACCTCGTGAGGAGGTGATGATGATGAGCGATCCCGCGTGGGAGGCCTTCGAGAGAACCACCCCCCGGCAGATCTCCTCTGATCCGGATTCCTGCCTCGAGCAGAGGGTTGGGCTGGATGGCCTTAAGAGGCCCCTCCGACTCTCATGATGCTATGATTCTGTGACTGTGTGTGGACCCTTACACGGGAGGAGAAGAGGACCCGGAGAGGGTTTACTTTTCAGGGGTCACTGTTCCCGTCCTTAATCCCTTAAGCAGGGTTGGGATAATATTTCCTCTCTTGTCAGCCCCAGAATTTTATGCCGGAGCGCTCGGAGGCGGCAGGAGGCTGGGTTTGTTGCCTCCCTCCTCCTGACAGGAGGGACGTGTTCCTACGAGACGCACCAGTGGGATTCTGCGACGCAGGAAGCCCAGCCCACGTTCCTTCACAAAGAACACGTCTTTGGTGGACCCGGTGGGGCCAGAGAGCCGCCCCTGGTGACCGCTCACACGTGGCACCCCTCTAAGCCCCGGACGTTGTTATCGGCAGCCAGCGACGGGTCGCTCCACGTGTGGGACTGGGCTGATCCCCAAGGGGGTGCCACCCAAGCTACAGGGTTTGCCCCCTGAAGTCCGCCGTTGTTACAAGCAAACGGGGAACGTTCAAGGAAGGTGTTCGCACATAACCTCTAGGGCCCACTCCCCCCCACACACACAAAGCATCTCCAGTTAGCGGTGCTGTTTCGTGTGGCTTGCGCTCCAGTGGCTGGATCTTGCCTGATGGGAGACGGGAGGAGAGCAGCGAGAAGCAGAGAAGGGGGCACAGTGGGAGGTTTATGTTGTGAATGTGGGGTGAGTCCTTGCCCCACTGAGCCTTAAAATGTGAGTGGGGAAGGCCTGACCCCTAGCACGTGTCCATTAGAGATGGGATCTGGGGATTACAGATCCCATAATTCTCCAGTCTGGATGTTCTACATGACAGGCAGACACTGTACAGACGCCGCAATGTGGCTCACCTGGGACAAAGGCCACATCCACCAAGAGTGGCCTTGGGCTAGATGAGCAGTATACAAATCGAAGGAAGGAATAAACAAATGAATAAATAAAATAAACTGGGAGGCTTTGAGGCTGAGCTAGGCCTAGCTGTGCCTAGCTTCCTGTTCAGAAAGAAAACTCCCAGCTAGCCCTGGGGCAGGAACAGGAAGTTTGGTGAGAGCTAGGCCTAGCGAGATCTCAAGTTATTCAGAAAAAAAAACTCCCAGCTAGCCCTGGGGCAGGAACAGGAAGTTTGGTGAGAGCTAGGCCTAGCAAGATCTCAAATTGAGGCCTTTCTCCCAGTTGAGTCCCGTTTTGGTGTCTGTCAAATAGAACTCCCTAAATGGAGAATTGTGGGATATATGGTCCCCCAAAATTAGAAGGATCCCAATTTTCAAGACGTGTGTCTACCACCTCTGGCATGGCACAAACCTCCGCTTCACATTTTATGATGCTACCTCGTTGCAGAGAATGACACACGGTGAAAGAAGTGCCAGCTGGACCTGACTCTGTGCCCATTAAAGGGAGCGAAAGAAATCTGGCTCTGATTGTTCTTCCTAATGATGCAAGAATCATGAAAAGCTTTCCTAAGGGGGAAAACAAAGCAATGAGGGGTGTGGGAGGCACTCCTGATATTACTGATATTATTGTGCTTCTGTTACCTCAAGAAACTATCTGTTTCTGTGACACTTCTGAGATGTGACAAGGTGTGTGTTGCCAGCTCTTAACCTCTTCACATTGTCACTGCTCACTTCAACAGGAAGAGTACTAACAGAGATGACTTGGTGGGGGAACTGGCAGCTTCAACAGGAAGAGTACTAACAGAGAAGACTTGGTGGGGGACGTGGCAGGAAGGGGAACTCTAGGCGAGAGGGACTACGTCCTTCTAGAATTCTTGATTTCAAAGGAAACGAAAGCAGAGTGTAGCTGCACAGGTCTGCTGGGTTTCTAAAAAGCCGGTTTTAATAATCTCAGGACAAGGACAAGGAAGGTCCCATGGCAGGAGATCCTAACAAGAAAAGGAGCCCAAGAAGGGTGGGAGCTTCCAAAAAATAAGGAATTCTACAGGCACAACTACACACAATTCCAACAAGGAAAAAAAGGGGGGAGAGGCAGCAAAAAAACGGCCAGTGTGGCTTCACAAAAAGCTCAGGGAAAATGGTAACAGAGGACAAAGAAAAGGCAGAGGCACTCGATTCCTATTTTAGTTCCTTCTCCTCCCATAAAACAGATGATGGACTTCCAAACAAATGGGAAGTGCAAGGGGAGGGCAGGATTGCAGCCGGAGATAAAGAAACCAATAGTCAAAGAATAACTTACCACCTTGAACGAGTTCAAATCTCCAGGGCCGGATGAACTGCATCCGAGAGGAATGAAGGAACCAACTGAAGAACTCTCAGAACTGCTACCATTATTTTCTTTAAATCATGGAAAACGGGGGATGTGCCAGAGGATTGGAGGAGGGCCAGTGTTGTCCCTGTCTTCAAAACAGGCAAAAAAGATGAACCTGGGAACTACAGGCCAGTCAGCCTGACCTCCATCCCAGGCAAAATTCTGGAACAGACCCTAAAGCAGTCATTGTGGAAGCACCTAGAAAACAAGGCAGTCGTAACTAGAAGCCAACACATAGTTGTCGAGAACAAATCCTGCCAAACTAATTCGTTTTTTGATCAGGTCACCTCCAGGATAGACAGAGGGAATGCTGTAGACGTAGTATATCTTGACTTCAGCGAAGCTTTTGACAAGTTGCTCTCCTGATGATCTCCTGATTAGCAAGCTAACTAGGTGTGGGTTGGATAGATCATAGGTGGATACACAATTGGCTACAGAATCATACTCGGAGGGTAATGATTAATGGGTCCTTCTCTAACTGGTAGGAGGTCACTAGTGGGGTGCCCCAAGGCTCAGTCCTGGCCCAGGTACTCTTCAATATTTTTATTAATGACTTGGATGATGGAGTGCAGGGAATGCTTGTCAAATTTGCAGATGATACCAAATTGGGAGGAATAGATAATACCCTAGAAGACAGAAACAAAATTCAAAATGGCCTTGATAGGATGGAGCACGGGACCAAATGCAACAGAATGAAATTCAACAGGGATAAGTGCAAAGGACTGCACCTCGGAAAAAGAAACCAAACACACAGTTAGAAGATATGGGAGACCTGGCTCAGCAAAACTACAGTACGAGCGAGAAGGATCTTGGAATTGTCGTAGATCACAAGTTAAATATGGGCCAACAGGGTGATGTGGCTACAAAAAAGGCTAATGCTATTTGAGGCTGCATTAATAGAAGTATAGTTTCCAAATCCCGCGAGGTGCTGGTCCCCCTCTATTCAGCATTGGTTAGGCTCACCTTGAGTCTTGTGTCCAGTTCTGGACACCACACTTTAAGACGGATGCGAACAAATTGGAACAAGTTCAGAGGAGGGCGACAAGGAGGATGATGGGGGCTGGAAACCAAGCCTTGTGAGGAAAGGCTGAAAGAATTGGACATATTTAGCCTTGAGAAAAGAGGACTGAAGGGTGACATGATAGCAGTTTTCAAAGACTTGAAAGTCAGGAGGGGCAGGCTCTTTTCTCGATCATCCCAGAGTGCAGGACACGCAACCATGAGCTCAAGTTAAAGGCAGCCAGATATTGGTTGAATATCATGAAAAACATCCTCATTGTTCGAGCAGTATGATGATGGAACTATTGACCTCGAGAGTAGGTGAGTGCTCCACCCCTGATGGCACTTAAGAAAAATGTGGATCATCATCTGGCAGATATGCTTTGATGGTATTCCTGCCTTGACCAGGGGGTTGGACTTGATGGCCTTATAGGCCCCTTCCAACTTCACTTTTCTAGGATTCATCAGCCGTAATGAGTGCCTGTTCCCTGTTGGCTTACTCCTCCTTTCTTCATAGGTGACTCGTGCTTCATAGGTGACAGGATAGCAGTTTTCAAAGACTTGAAAGTCAGGAGGGGCAGGCTCTTTTCTCGATCATCCCAGAGTGCAGGACACGCAACCATGAGCTCAAGTTAAAGGCAGCCAGATATTGGTTGAATATCATGAAAAACATCCTCATTGTTCGAGCAGTATGATGATGGAACTATTGACCTCGAGAGTAGGTGAGTGCTCCACCCCTGATGGCACTTAAGAAAAATGTGGATCATCATCTGGCAGATATGCTTTGATGGTATTCCTGCCTTGACCAGGGGGTTGGACTTGATGGCCTTATAGGCCCCTTCCAACTTCACTTTTCTAGGAGACATCAGCCGTAATGAGTGCCTGTTCCCTGTTGGCTTACTCCTCCTTTCTTCATAGGTGACTCGTGCTTCATAGGTGACTGTGGGAGAACTGAAAGAAGGAATACCAGACCCGTGTCTTCTCTACCTGGAGATCCTTGGCAACAGGGGCCATCCATTGCCATTGACATGATGACATACAAGGAGGCATCAGTGGCCATCCGTTGCCATTGACATGATGACATACAAGGAGGCATCCATGTGTCCTGAGAAGGGGTCCGAGTGCCATTGGTCAAGTGGCTCTTTATTGAGCAAAAGGGGGCAGTTCCAAGGCTCCCAATGGTCTTGGACTATTGGAGTTTTTGAGATGGTCTTCTTTCCTTCTCCGTGATCAGAGTCTATCGATCTTGGTCCTCCCTCTTCAGGAAAGAGGTGAGCAAAAGGCCTTTGGAAATGCTGTAGACTCTTGGCAGTGTTAATTAAAGCTTCTGGGTGATGCGGGCCAAATATCTTTCTGTGGCCCACAGGAGGTGGGCATAAGCCCTTTGCCCGTGGGGGAGGGAGAGAGAGTATGGACTGCTCCACGGTCTTTGTAGAAAGCATGGGACTCATTTTTAACTAAGGAATCATTCCTGCTAGACTTACTTTCCCAATTACTGTTACCTTTTTTGAGAATCAATTGTTGACAAGCTTTTTGGACAAGGATCCGCCCACTCGTCCTGAACATGTCAGTGCTCACTCATTATTTCCAAGGCCTGGTCTGGTCTGCTGCAGTTTGTGTGTGATCGCCGGCTAGATTATGATCTCGAGATGGACCCTTTACAGACTTTTGCCTGTGGTTTCACAACCGAGCTGCTGAGAGAGGTGCTTGCATTTCCTTTGTAAGGCTGCAGATATAAAACGGGAGTGTCTAGTGAACCACATTACTTTTGATATTCTTGAAGTCGAATCCAACTTGTGCCATGGACGATGAAGAGGGTTATATGACATTAAGCCCCCGGATGCCCAACGAAACCTCTAGCCAGGAGTCACTGTCTAAAAGGAGACGAGGTACGGCTTTCCAGGTGTCCCCGGGGTTCACGGGCCGATATTAAACTGCTTGGGTGCAATAGTTAAGAGCAGAGCAAAGTTAAACGCTTTGGCCTAACTCCACTTGTTAGACCCAGTTACAGTAGATTCCTGGATTCCATGGGACTTGACATTAATTTGAGTGTGTGCGCATGATAGATGATGTCTTGTCAAATCAGAATTATGGCAACCCTCGTAGAGTTTTCAAGACACGTTAGATTTGAAAGGGTGATCAAGGATTTAAACCTTTGGCTCCTGAGTCCTACCTAGTCCATTCTGCTACCGGACTCATTTGGCTGTCATTTGCCAGCATGCCGATTTACCAAAACCCTATTGGCTTTCATAGGTCTACTCTACTCAGGAGTCACGCTTGGATGTCGTTCTCCATTTGCAAGCAGCTTTCCAATGCCTTTTACTTCTCCAGAGCGGATCTTTCTCTCCCTTCGACTTAAGAATGTGGGCATGTTTTTCGGGCACCTCCGGTCATGTGTTGAGGAAGGCAGACACATTCGGCTACTAAGACAGGTCGTCAGATTAAGACCTGGGCAAGAGTCTCCAAATTCCCAGGAGAACCCAGGAGGGTGTTGGGCAAAGCATTCCCAGAACATTTCACACCCCTTGAAAACTTTACAAGAGTTGTCCTAGGCGGGAAGCCATTGGAGGTGGCACGTGACATGTGCTTCTGCGTCTTAGCTGTGTTAAGCTTTAGTCATCTTGCTTTCCCCCCTAAATTTGTAAATGGTTCCTTTCTCCCCTAAATTTGTATCCTAATCATCATCATCACCATCATCTAGGTCTGTTGCCTCTTATTTGCTCAGCTGAGTATATCTTGTTAAGAGGAGCGATCCGTATACCTTGTGCTGTGAATCAAAAGCCTTTCCGTCTTATCCTTTCGATTTGTGATGGTGATCTGATCTTACCCTGTGAAATCATTTGCACGTTTAAGAAGGTTTTAACAGGCTAGGGTTAAGGAATGCTCTCCCTGGGGAGATATGGTCAGCCCCCTCCCTTTTATCCTTCTGCTGACCACAGAAGACCCACGTTTTCAGGCAGGCTTTTAAAAACAGGATTGGGTCACCGGACGCCTTTTTAAAGTTAAGCTAGTTTTTAACTGACCACGGAAGACCCACTTTTCCAGGCAGGCTTTTGACAATCAGGATTGGGTCACCAGACGCCTTTTTAAAGTTAAGCTAGTTTTTAGTGTTTACCTGCTTGTAATTATTCAACGGCATTTTGATCAGTTTTACAACATAATTGTTATTTGAAGGTTTAGCTTATTTTGTTTTCAACTCTGTTCTTTTTAATACTGTGAGCCGCCTTGAGTCCCCTTAGCAGGAGATAGGTGGTCTGTAGATGAAACAAGCAGACAAGCAAATGGCAGAGCGACCCTGCCGTACTTTAGAAAGCTGCTTCCTCTTCTCTTATTCTTAAAAGTCTGATCCTCTGCGGCTGCTGGTCTGGTCTGAAGGGAAGTAAGCCTGGCTCAGGGAAGGATCCTCTATTGAGGATCTGCCTATTCATGGGATTGCCTTACGTCAGAGGTGACCCTGATGACACATCGCAACAGTAATAAACAGGGGGCAATGTGGGGAAATATACAAGGAAAAAAAATCATTGGGAGGTACATGGCCCCCCCAGGCAGATCAGAGGATACAATATGGTTTTTGTTTGTTGATCTGTGGCAAAAGGAATGACAGGCTTAAAGTTCCTGAATGCAAAGTGATTGTCATATCGTTAGGATTGCATCATGCATCCAAAGTGTTGATTGAAGCACACAACAAACTCAGTGAGAAAAGGTATTTAGCAGATCAACAAAACTGAGTGGGCGTCAAAAAGGCTGGGTCTCAGGCTGGCCCTGTCCTTTAGGAGGCTTTCTGGGTAGACCCGCTCTGTCCACATCCCGTGGCAACCGTTGGCAAAGCCCGCTTCTTTGTAAGCTGAACAAACTGCAAGAGCGTGCGGTATTTTGGTTTGGTTTGGTTATACACCATTTGTTTTCTGTTTTTAATCTAAAATATTTTTACCCCGCCTTTCTCCTTGAAAAGGGCCCAAAGCAGCTTCCAAACCATGAAAGACCATGTTTGAAGTTGAAAGCAGTGAGCAAATAACGGTGGTTAACCTCATTAAAAGACAATATTTAGATCTAAGAAGAAGGCGAGAGTGACCAGGACCTGTGCTAAAAAGCCATATTTGAAGTTGAAAGCAATGAGCAAACAACGGTGGCTAACCTCATTAAAAGACAATATTTGGATCTAAGAATAAGGCAAGAGTGACCAGGACCTGTGCTAAAAACAGCCAAGAGCCATGGCTAAGCGAGCCGCCCTTGGCACGAGCTGGCAGGGGCGCAGCCCACGTCTTCAAACGCATGGAGTGTGCGGTTCAGTCTGATAAGCACCCTGATTCTGCTCGCAAAGAAGGAAAGTGCAGGAAATGACTTTTTCAATCATCAGGGAACAGATTTCTCTTCTGTTCTGTAAAAGGTGTGACATGATGAGGATTTTGAGGCTAGTGCTTTTGAGGATGGAGATTAATTTCAGACTTAAAAAGAGATGTGAATGCAGAGGGTGCAACTAACATACATACATACATACATACATACATACATACATACATACATACATACATACATACATACATACATACATACATACATACATACATACATACATACATACATACATACATACATACATACGCATGATGTTTCTTTCCTCCCCTTTGAACGCTTGCAGGTAATTCCAAGAGGGTCACTCAGTACAAACTCTCAGTCGGGATATTGGGGGCATTGTGTACCATTCTGGGATCGGCAGCCGTCGTGCTCCTCACATTTGGTAAGTGCTCAAATGCCTATACAGTATATATTAAGTTCCCTTCTGTGTCACACACGAGACGTTGCTATGCAGTTCCTTCAGCCCAGCACAGGGAAAAGTGTGAATCCTCTGGAGATTTCCACAGCCATTGCATCACATGTGCAAAACGCTCTCAGAAGCGCTTGCCTCTTATCCTGCTGTTTATATAGAGAATTGCCTCTGGTGTCATCTGTTTTATTTGGTCTAATGTTTTAATTCTTATTGTTGATTTGTAGTTTATTAGCATAGGTTTTATTTATTGTTGTAAAACCCCCAAGAATAGTGCACTGGAGCAGTATTAGGCATCCTTCAGTCTCGAGAGATGAGGGTCACATGCTCTGAATGGAGGTCTTGGAACAGCGTCTAGTGTTGCTGAGAAGACCAATTCGAGAGTGACAGTCCCTTCCACACTGGAGACAAAAGACAATCTGTCCCCTGTCCAGCTCCCTGATTTGACTACTTTCGTGACTGTCTTTTTGCCTCAGCCTGCTGGACAAGGGTCTGGGGCAGGAAGTCCATCAATTTATGGGGCAGTAAATCCATCAAGTGACTCTTCTGCTTAGATCCTGTTTGGCTACCGTAATTTCTCTGCATGAAACCGGTCTTGGCCCACTTTCCATTTTTAGTATGTATGCTGGCAGGTCCGCATCAACTATATTTGCCGGTCAGCAGTCCCTCATTCACAGCGACATGTACAGTTTGTCTCCTGTTCTCTCAACGGTTGGGTTTTTTTCTTCTGTCAACCATGCCCTGCTTGCACAAGTTTTGCAGGGTGGCTTCCGTCCATGTGAAACCGTCAATGCAACTAAAGACAACGCGGGAAGGTTGGAAGACGGACCCTGTTTCTCTCAGCAGGTTGCCGTTCACCTCTGTGAGCCATTTACAGGTATGTTTCCATCAGCCCTTCCTGCAGTAGTTAAAAGATTTCCTTTTGCATTAGAAAGGTTTTAGGGTGATTTGGATGAAATACCCCTTTGTGATGGCTTCCAAAGGGATTTAGGCAAATGAATGGAGGATAAGGCTACCTGGGGCTGGGGAGGTGCGAGGTGGGGGGCACCTGGGAAGGTATTGTTTGCTGCTTGGGGCAAATATATATAAAACCTCTTCCTATTCCACATACAAAAGCAGATAAAAAAAAAGAGTAGTGTTTCCATTAACCATCCCGGAACGCCAGGAAATTGTAACCCCCAAAAAGTGAATTTTGCCAAGCTCTAGGCAGAAAATACACAGAAGTGGCTGAATTTCCCCTTCTTCTGGGGGAGGAGTGAGCAGCTTGCCCAAGGCCACCCAGGCTGGCTCTTCACGCAAGACGGCACAGTGGGGAATCGAACTCCCAGCTACAACCAGATCCTGAAACCACAGAGCTATTCAGCCAGCTCTATAATGATCAAGCTTGGCAGTGAATGACATTGATACCTATAGACCCCTCGCCAACGTTCCTTTTCTGAGCAAGCTCGGGGAGAAAGTGGCGGCTGATCAGCTACAGACTCTCCTGGAGGAGACCGATGCCCTTGAGCTGTTCCAGTTCGGATTCAGGCTGCACCACGGAGACGGCATGGGTCGCCCTGCAAGATGACCTCTTGAGAGAGACCGACAGGGGCAAAACGTCCCCCCTGGTCCTCCTCGACCTCTCAGTGGCCTTTGACCGTCAACCACAGTCTCCTCCTGCGGAGGCTCTTGGGGTTGGGGATCGGCGGGTGGGCTTCAACTTGGCTCCGATCCTTCCTGGAGGATCGTCCCCAGAGAGTGCAGCTTGGGGAGATGATGTCCACCCCTTGGGCTCTCAATTGTGCCCCCCCCCAGGGGCCAATCATCTCCCCAATGCTGTTTAATATCTACATGAGGCCGCTGGGGGAACTCCTCAGGAGTTTTGGAGCTTTGTGTCACCCGTATGTGGATGATGGCCAGCTCTATCTCTCCTTCTACCCTGCTGCAGAGGATGCTGTTCCGTCCCTGGAGCGCTGCCTGAACGCCGTGCTGGGGTGGATGAGGGATAATAGACTGAGGCTGGACCCTGGAAAGATGACAATCCTGCATGTGGGGGCCTCTCGTATCTATCCCTTGGGGGGGCTCCCTCTTTTGCAGGGAAGCTACTCTCCCCATTAAGGAGGAGTCGCAGTCTGGACATCTTAATTTTAACAAGAGCGTCTCACCATCCCCATGGTAAAATCAGTTTGCTTTTGCTTTATGATGATGAGTCATCAGTAAAGGAAACATGATTCAAGGCAAGTCTGTTCTCAGGCATGGTGCTTTAAAGGAACAGGGTGTCTAGAGGGAAAATGATAAAACAGTAGGAAATAGACATGATTTAAATGGGTGATTTTATGCTGGGGTTACAGCTTGAATTAGTCCAGCCCTCCCCAAGCTGTTTTTGTCATGTCATGTCTTATTAAATTTTTAAACTGTATTCTCGAAGGCTTTCAAGAATACAATTTTTAAATTCTTTCTCTGGTTGATATTCTGGAGTTTTTTCGGGAAGGAATGAGATTATTACGCTCAGTATGTCCCGTTTCCTTCTAGAGGGTGCCACCTGTAAGCTCTGCCCAGCAAACTGGAAAGAAAGGAGAGGAAAATGCTACTGGTTTTCAAGAGAGAAAAAGAGCTGGCTTGTGGGCTACCAGGACTGTTCCAGGAAGAAAGCTCAGCTCCCCGTGGTCTACGATGCGGAAGAAATGGTGAGATGAACGATGTGTGTTGTGAACAGGTGAAAGGCCGGCAGAAGGAGGTACTATGTCGAAATTGCACAGGGCAGAAACAGTGGCTGCAGACGGAGCAGGAAGCAGGTGGCCCTCTCTAGAATTCCTCTTCGCCCGACGACGTCTCAAACTGGGTTTCCGGCAGTAGCCACATAGGTCACCACCGACGGTACCTGTAAATGAGAATGCAGACCGAGCAAAGGGTAGAACCAACAGGTTGATACGATGGTTTGTTTAAAGAACAAACGCTGTTTGGTGGTTTTATCTCAAGACTGAGATGGGCCCCTCTGCATGGGGGGAATACAGGGTAGGTGGGGGGGGCAGAACCTACAGAACTCTGGGGCCCAAACCAGACCTGAAGCAGAGCAGCAAATGGCATCTCCCTTCTGCCCGGCCAAAGGGTGCTGGGTCTCTCAAGGTAGCCAGGTTATTCCCACAATGTATGGCTGAAAACCTCGGTGTCACTCAAGATGGGTAATACCCATCGCTCCCACGCTTCCAGAGGGCATTTTTAAGGGTATCATTCACCCGAAGGGTACGGCTGTTTAAGAACAGATGCTGCAAAGACCAGGGAGAAAAGCAAGAATCGTATTCTTCCTAATATTTTTTTGCCAGGGGTTCATCCAACAAAACGTCCCAGAGAAATCTCCAGTTTGGATTGGACTTAATTTTACACCCTCTGTGGGGATCTGGACCTGGATAGATGGAGCAGCATTAAAGGAACACCTGTAAGTGCTTCTCCTTCTTTGAATAAATGCATCTTACAGTCGACCCCCCACAAAGGGGAAGGGGTGATGCTATCCGCATTTCTCCTGCTTCAGAAAGCTCCCCATCGCACCCTTGCTTGTTCTTACGACCAGAGTGGGCATCGGCCGGAGCAGGGGGATGAGTTCATCCTTGACCTTCTGCCCTTCGGTTCTGGAAGAAGAGACCGCCCAGTGTATCCCACACAACCGGTCTGAATTTTAACCATCCCATACTTGTAATGGTATTGCAGAAAAACGCATGTCCTCCGCTGGATTTCTTGCTGTGGCTAAGCCGACCTCGGATGATATGCAGCTTTGATGGCAGGGATGTGCAACTCATACCTGTGGTTTCTCTGATATTGCTGGAGTGCCATTCCCACTGACCTCACCATTGGCGATGCCAGCTGGGGTTGGTGGGAGCAGAGTTTGACCACAACTGGAGTCCAACAGGTTGCTCATTCCTGCTCCTTGGCACTGGGTCTTTGTGAGCATTTCCTGCATCCGTGAGCATGCCACACAAGGCTTAAGCTGTGCTTGCGTGCAACAAGTTTAAACCCTTCCTCTTACCATCAGCATCATCTTTACTGATAGGCTGCCTTTCTTCCTTTCTAAGGAGGTAGGCAGATGTCCCAAGGAAGGGAGGTTAGTATAATTTTAATGCAAAGGTGGGGGCATCTATGGCCCTCTGGATGCTTCAAGATTACAACTCTCATACTCCCCTACCAACTACACTGGCGAAATTTTTTGCCAATTGTACCGCCAAAACATCTAAAAAGCCACCGTTGTTCTTCACTGTCCCAAATATAATTTCAGCCTGAGGCAGAATTGCTAGCTTTGAGGTTCTGTGTTTGCAGCTCCATGCACTAATGGAACAAAGTCCCTGAACTTTAGTGGAATTTTAAACACTTTGCAATTGTTTACAAATGGCTAGAGGTAGTGTATGTGGAGGTTCGCAGTTTTCATAATCCAGGACGAATGCAGGAGTACAGAACGCAACCCAGCCTTCTTCGTCCCTTTCTGTCTTGTCACCCCTTGGCTTGCATCTCCCCAAAACTATGGGCACTTTTCTTCTTCTTCCCTATGGGAGGAGAGTCCTCTCCTTCCAGTTCTACGCAGGTCAAGGAGCACACTTGCTTAGCAGATGATTGAGCAGTGAGGGGACTTCTGCCCGGTGATACACCTGGGCAATGCCAGCCTGGCATAGACCTCAGGCAAAAGCTTGGAAACGATGACTCCCATAATACCCACACACACACACACACTAGCTATGATGACCAGGGGACTCTAAAAACATTATTTTGCCAAGTTCTTGTCATGAAATCTCTCTTCAACCAAGAGCTGCTTAACTGGAAGGCGCACAGAAGTTAAAGATGATAAAACATTCACCTGGAGTCTGGAAGTCGAGTCAAGGCAACCAGACTTCTTTCTTATTAGGGTGAAACGTTTCGTTACTCCTCCAGGTTGCTTCTATAAGAAGAAAGAAGTCCAGTTGCTATGAGCCAGCATCCAGATAACCTCGCTTGGAGGACAGAGAATCTTCACAGATATCTTCACCTGGATTGGACTGCTTTTTATGGTCAACAAACTTAAATATACTGCTGAACTTACGCCTCTTTCTCCTTCTCCCCCCCCCCTACAGGTTCCCACAAATTCACCAAGAAAGGGAAACCAGCTGTGCCATTCTTAAGGGCAACGACGTTCGCTCCGAAATGTGCACGGCCGACTTTGGCTGGATGTGTGAAAAGAGAGCTATTGTGCTCTAAATGAATGATGCCAAAAGACTGCCAGCTTCAATCTGCTAATAAAATACATTTTGAATACGTGTGTCACAGAGATTGCATACAAAACATCCTTTCTAAGGAGCTCCTAACATGATCAGGATTAGCTATCAGGCCCACGGACAGCTTGCTGACCGGGTAAGGGAAGTGGCGGGCCACCCAGCTGTGGCCGTAAGACGTTGGCCTCTATGGCCCGACCGTGCTTGCTCTACTGTCCAAAACTGTAACGGGCATTCTAGGGATGGGGTTTAGGTTTTAAATGGCAACCTTCCTAATTTTAGCCAATTCAGATCCCATAAAAATCAATGAAGTTGCAGGAGTGGAAATACCAAGTGTAGACCAAAAGCTGGTATAGTTGACAGTATCCAACAGAGGAAAGGGAAAACTATGTGGTCTTCTTTACACAATCCAAAAGCAAAGCTGGGTAATACCTTGATTAGACCATTAAAAAAATCAGAGAGTGTGAGTTAGCTTTTAATTAATGCTAGTTTTTATCATGCTGGGTACCCCACTATGATGTGGATGGTGCAGAAAAAAACCTATGAACTGAGGTCCCAAAAGTCATGGCCGATAACCGTGCCCGGTCTCTTTCTTTCTTTCAACTTGCTTTTTAAAAACAGACTGGACACGATCATCGCCATGACTTTTGGAACAACACGTTGGGTTTGTTTTTCAGCCCCATCCGTGACAGGATCTTGCTCGGTCAGCAGCTACCTTTCATTCATTCATCCATTCATTCATCCAGTTTTTTAGTGTCACCTATACTTGCATTTCCAGTGGAGAAAGCAAGGGAAAAAAGGGTGTGGTATAGGAGTGAGAGCAAGCTGGATATTTTACCATACAGTTTAAATGTTATGTAGAAGAATCACTTTAATGCTGTACAACTAGATCAAAATGCAAAGAGAAAGGAAACATATTGGCATCAAGGATAGCCCGGTCCTCCTCTTTGTTTTTCTGTTCCTCCAAGATTAATCCGAACTGTTGCTTCTCGGTTCCCAACGTGTAAGTGACCTCCAACACTTTCGCAAGCCGAATCTCCATTTCGTAGCTTTATCAAAGGAGGCCGTCTCTCCCCCGCAAGGGATGGTGCACTGCCTCTTACAGTGGCTCAGCTTAACATGAATAGCTAATAGTCCCACACGTTTGTGTATATTTAATCTTATTTTTTCAAAAGAAGGTAAAAACTCGCACACGACTACATACCATTTTGGTGTTCCTGCAGTGTTTAATCCTTGTTTGTATCCTTTTCCTTATTAAAGCTTCTTGTAACTATTTATGTGTGTTCAGCCTTAAAGTGACCCATGCATTCTTAAAATTACACTTAGAAAGATACAGTCATATACGCTGCCAGTTAACAAGAACTCATATTTCAATTTTAATATATACAGTGGTGCCTCGCTTAACGATGTTAATTGGTTCAAAAAAACCATCGCTATGGGAAAACATTGTTAAGCGAAACATCATTTCCCATAGGAATACATTGAAAACCGGTTAATCCGTTCCAATGGGAACGGATTGCCATCCTTAGGCAAAAATCCCCATAGGAAACATCGCTAAGTGAAACAATGTTTTCCCCAAGGGAAAGCCATTCAAAAGCACTGAAGCCGGCTTCAGTGCTTTTGAATGGCTTTCCGATGTCTGTTTTCGCTCATTTTTAAGTGTCTTAAAATGTTTGAAACCTGTTTTAAATGCTTGGATTCGGTAGTGCACCTTGTGAAACATGTGCAAACTTAATTTGGTTTTGTTCTGAGTCTTCGTTAATTTTTGGTGATTTTCTGTTTTCCCCATTTAAATCCATTGAACTGTTGTTAAGTGAAATTCCCCCATAGAGAACATCGTTAAACGATGGGGAAATTTCCTCAAAGAAACCCATCGCAAAGCAAATACATTATTAAACGAAGCAATCGCTAAGCGAGGCACCACTGTATAAGCCAGGAAATTCATTTCTTAGCCTTTAAGCATATGAAGAATGCACAAAATAATTGTAAGGAAATAAGGCTGGACTGTTTCAGGATCCTTCTGAAGTAGCACCAGAAAACTATTTCTTTAAGACGAAATGAATTGATTCGAGAACCAGTGAACCTCTAGGAGAGATTTGCGAAGAAGACAAGTTTGTCACGTTTCTGTTCTGGTCTACTTGATATACTTAAAGACCAAAAGAAATTTGCCGTAAGCACTTTCACCTACAACGAAATTCACACAGACGCCCAGAGACCAGACTCACATGCACACATATAAAAAAAAATCCCCAAACACTCCCCACCCACTAAAAATCCCCCACTATAAATACAAACATCTACACTGCTGGCTAAGTAACACTGTCCAACTGTTCATTGCTAGTGGTCTTTAAGTTCATTATTAAGTGCAATTATAGCTCTGGGATAAACACTATTCAGAAAATGTGTGGTCCCAGTCTTAATTGTTCTATATCTTCTGCCAGACGGCAACAGTTCAAAAAAAGCTGTAAGCAGGATGGGAAGAGTCCGATATTGTGTGACTTCCTCAGACAGAGGGATGTGAAGACGTCATCCAGGGTTGATAGCCAGATCCTGATGATATTCTGGGCACTTTTAATGGTTCTCTGTAGAGCTTTTTTGTCTGCTACAGAGCTGCTCCCAAACCGTGCCAGAATGCCGTAAGTTAGGACACTCTCAATGGTGCTACGATAGCAGGACAGAAGTAAATGCTGAGATAATTTCAACTTCCCAACTGCAGATGCTGCTTGTTCCAGTGCCAGCAGTCAAGTAAATCAGGCAGAGGCAACAGACTTCTAGCAAATTAAGTCTATTGGCATTTATATAGAGCAGCAACAGCATTGGAGTCCACAACCATTTAGATCAGCCAAGAGCAGAAACTGTGACACAGAGTCTACATATACTTCGTTGGTTGTCAGAGACCTGACATCATCTTTACCTTTAAGAGGCGTCTTCCAGTGTCCTTGTCAGGCACACCTGCTGGCACTCTGTACACGATCTCTGTGCTTAGTGTTCAGGGCTGTCAGAACCAGGTTCCATTTTATGTGGCTTATTTTATATAACCTGGCATGCCACAGATGCAATATGGCCTTTTTTTTTTTAATGAAAAGAGGATCCCACTGGAAGCTGCTCTTCCCTGGAAGGTGGCCATCCTGTTTTAGGCCGTGCTCCGTGGTTTACTACATATCCAGGGCCGTTCTGCGCGACACCGGGTCGACGTAAAATTGACACCATTCCAGAAGGCGCATTCTCCTGTGCCTCCTACGAGAAGCCTGAGGAGAGAAAAGGAGAGGAAAGAGCATGAATGTCCTGGGAACGACAGACACCCAAGGAAAGCGGCTCAAGCGAAGGGGGAAGGAAAACACCCAGCCACAACTTCCAAGGTGCCGTGGAACAAACACCTGGCCCAAAGTCAGGTTCCACGTCAGGTGCTGTGACAATGAGCTGAGTCCGCTCCACCCCCTCCCCGACGGAGTCTCTCTTGGTCCACCTTTTTCCCCCTAGAGCCAGCTTTTTTTTCTCCCTTCCTTCCACTGGCCACCCACTTTCACAGGCCTCAGACCTCAAACATTTATGCATTGGTAGTCTGGCGTTCTAGTGAAACTCCAGGCCTGCTTCAGTTTCTTTCCTTCCTTCTTTTCTTCCCTTTTTCTTTTCATTCCTTCCTTCCTTTCTCCCTCTTTCTCTCTCCTCTCTCTTTTCCTTCCCTTTTTTCTTTTCTTTTCCTTCCTTCCTCTTTTATACTGCCCATCTGGCCAGAGGCCACGCTGAGCAGTATACAGAAGACAATAAAAACAAAATAATCATAAAACATCAACACAGTAAAATACAACACAGTAAAACAAAACAAGAGCGTCAAAATACATCTACAAAGCACGGTGTATTTTGATCTTGGCTCAGCTCCTCTCTTCGTGGGGCACTTATTCAAACAGCCCCGGCGTGGCCAGAGCAGCCTATGGGTCAGCCACCCCCTATTCCACAAGTACGTCTCTGGATTTTAAAGCCTTGAGATGCAAAGTCTGGATTACTATCATCTTAGTTTACATTTTATAATTTTTAAAAGAAACAAAAGCTGAATTTACTGCTGTTTTAAACTCTGAAAATACTTACACAGCTTTCCAGAACTTTGGCAGCGTTAATCAATGTAAAAAGAGAATACAGGAAGTTACTCTTAGGAGCACTGAAGCCTTGACCACATGAACCAGGACAGGATTTTTTATTTTTGTTATACAACTCTTTGCTGCAGAATCCATACACAACTAGATCTATGAGGCAGGCATTGAACTCATTTCCCCAGATTCCAGCTATGGCCTTTGTGCAGTTACACAAAGGTAAAACAGCTTGGACAAAAGAGCTGAATCAATCTGTTGACTTCTGCCATCATCGTACATTTTTATCCCAGTCAGTGTAACATACTGGAGCATATCTTCTGGGAATTTTTTTGTTAATGGGGTGAGCCTTTAGACTGCGAGGTGAGCACTTAAAGAATTTATGAACATCGTGTTGTCAGTCTGTGGAACTCTTTGCCACAGGATGTGGGGATGGCATCTGGCCTTGAAAAGGGGATGGGACAGATTCCTGGAGGAAACGTTCATCGCAAGTGACAAGCCCTGATGGGGATGTACAATCTCCAGGCTTCGAAGGAAGGGACCTCCAAAGGCCAGATACAGGAAACAGGTCTTTCGTGGGCTCCCAGAGGCATCTGGAGACAGGTCTTTCGGGGGCTCCCAGAGGCATCTGGTGGGGGGCACGGTGAGATACAGGGTTTAATACATTGATGGAGGAATTAGCTATTTTTGAATGCATTTGGTGATTCATTTTTTTAAATCTGTGTCCATCTTTACAGGCAACCTCTGCTGTGAAACCTCATTAGGGTCCTCCCCCTTTGACCAAGCTAATTTGGGGTCTCACTGCAAGCAGGTGTGCTGATGAAGTACCACCGCTACAAAATGCCAGAGGCAGGGGAAGAGAGGTATCAGGAGACCGTTGTATCTCGTGGGCTCCCAGAGGCATCTGGTGGGGGCCCCTGGGAGAGATAGGAAGCTGGGCTAGAGGGTCCCTGGGCCCGATCCAGCACGGGCCTCTTCTTATGCTTTTATGTTCTTATGGGGTCAAAAGACAGCCTGGAACTTACCAGCTGCTGGTGAATTCTGAGCCATTCGGCCTTCTCCAAGGTTGGGTGTCATTCTCCCTCCAGAGGCCAATCCAATGATCCGTATAATTCCTGCTCTTGAGAAAATCCTTGGGGGGTGGGGGGAAGATTTCACACGTCTCATGTAAACTTTATAAAGTTTAAACTTTAACCAATTTTTTTAAAACATCATACAAGTGATTACCTACTTTGACCCTCTGTGAACATGGTCGGTGATTACTATCAAGGAATACCAAGTTGAAGATATGTCTGAATTCGGGGTCTCTATAAACTGCATTTGTTGGGACTTTCTTGGCTGCTCGCTGAAAAAGATTTTGCTGCTGATGGCAAGACATCCGCCACCAGCCACGGAACCGCTGGGGGGGGGAGAGTTAATCCCACAAGCCACGTGCGACCTCTGGTGGAGTGTCAACTCAATCGTTGCAAGACTGCCCCAGAGAGCAGACAGCCTCCCGAAGAGGGGGAAATGGCTTGCACGACGACCCTGCCATGAAGGATTTCTTTAGAAACAGGACACCGGCCATCGTACAATAAGAAATTACTCAGAAAGGGAAGAAAGCAAATCAGGTTTAACAGATAAATCTTCAAATGATAGTCATGTCTGACTTCCAACTATTCCAACCTATTACTTGCAGGCGCATGCGGAACGCAAGCGGTGCAGCTTGCAGCC